TTGAAGGGAACTAAAAGCGAGGAAGGTTGCACCATTAGGTATTTTTAAAGTGCTAAAAAGCAGGTAAGGTTCCACCATTGTTAAATGTTTATGACAAAAAAGAGAAGATAATTTAAATCAAATTATAATTTAATTATTTAAATCTATAAAAATTAAAAAAGCTATTTTTATTTCAGATGTGTTATGTAATATACAATAAAATATATATTACATAACACATCTAAAATAAAAAAAGTTTTTTGAATTTGATTGAATTAAATAATTAAATGATAATTTGATTTATATCAATTTGATTTCAATTATATTCTCTTTTTTTATAAATATTTAATAATGATACTTACTTACTCTGCTTTTTGGCGCTTTAGAAATATTTTCTTTCATATCAAAATTTTTTCTTTCTTCAAGTGGATATATGTAAAATTAAAATTCTTTTTTACATTTCATAAGTTAAAGCACCAACCGATGCTACAGAGTTAGTACCACTAATGTATTAAAGAGAAAATATAAAAGAATTTTAATTTTAGTTTAAAAAAGAATATTAATCTGAAGCAAATTCTTATTACTATATATTTTGAAATTATTTTATTACTTAAAAATGAAAGTATTACTTTCACAAATAAAAATTTATATAAAAAAGTGGAAAAATATTGGATTGGTCAACCCCCTATCTCTAATTAAGGAAACATTCCAATATTAATTACATTCGTGTACGGAAATAATAAATTTGAAGTTAATTAAGAAATTTAGAAAATAATGACATAACTTGGGGAAGTATTAACAAAAAATATACAGATCCAGATCAATATTCAAACATAATTTATTCATTTACAATCATTTTGAAGTTTGTATACATAGACAGAATGCAGTAAAAGAATACAAAATATTTAATTCCAAATTGATAAAACTATCTTTGAAAGAAACGCGCTTAAAAGCAGCAGAATTTTCTAAAGAAAGAATAAATATAGCAATCGAGAAAAAGAAGCAAATAAAAAATACCCCCTGAAGCCGTCGGCTTCCGTGATCATATTTTTATTTTTATTTACTTCTTTTTCTCTATCGCTATATAGACAGGATGTAATAATTTTTATGCAAAATCTTAAAATTTAAATATATTATACTTTTTGTACATATCACAGCATTCAAAAAATACAAAATATTCACTCAAAAATATGATCGATAGTATGTTTTTGTTACTAAAAAGTGCATTCAGTTCAAACTTATTTTTAATTTACAGTAATTTAAAGTAAAAATTATGTTAGCATATGCCTCAATGTTTACAGTTTTGAAATTTGGGATCATCTGAAAATAATTTTCAATATTTTAATAAGATACTAAGTTTTTTGATACACTCTTCCTCGTCTGAATTAAAATTAACAATATTACTAAATTACTTTTTTAGAAACATAATTTACTACCTGATGAAGAAAATTTAAATTTCACTCAGTTTAGAAAAAAAAATACTGTTATTTTTTTACAAATTAGTAAATCGTGGTGAGTATTTGAGAGTTAGCAATATTATTATTAAACACCGAAGAGCGATTACTTTATGACCACCCTGCTAATAACATGTAGGACCACCTTTAGCCATCAAAACTGCTAGCACCCGCCGTGGCATTGATTCCACAAGGTGCTGATAGGTTGTCTGAGGTATCTGGTACCAAGCGCTCACCAACTGCTCCTGCAATTCTCTCACATTGCGAGGGGGTAGCGTGGCAGCACGAATTTGGTTTTCCAAGTAGGACCACAACTGCTCTATCGGATTAAGGTCAAGTGAATTTGGAGGCCAAGACATGACTTGAAAGTCACTGGAATGTTCCTCGACAATTCAACCCTTATGACATGGTGCAATATCCTGTTGGTAAACACCACCGCAAGAAAAACTGTTGCCATGAATGGGTGAACCTGGTCTGCAACTATGTTCAAGTAGCTTACAGACGTCAGGGATTGTTCTATGAGGATTATGGGTCCTAATGTGCCCCATGAAAACATTGTTCCTGGGCGAGAAAC